TCATCCTCCTCTGTTGACAGACGCCGCCGCTTGCGGCTCCCGGCAGCCATTTTCAATTGCCTGTACTCACGCAGCTGTGACTGAAGATCTTCAGCCTCCTCACTGGGTTGGCTGTTTTGTGACAGCTGAGGACTGGGGGGAGGGAAGGCAGAGTCATCTTCTTCCTCATCCCCACTGGCATTGGCCTGGCTACTGTTTGCCTGCACACCTAATGGGAGGATCAAAAGGGCGTGGGCATGGCAGTGCAGAATGAGCTTAGGGATGTAGTGAGCCTACCTGGTGTTTGTGGGGCTGTCCAGGCATCAAGCAGATGGGCATACTTCTTGAGCTGGCTTCGTGGTCGCCACTCAGCATCATCCTCGGTTTGGCCAGCACTGCACAATGGGTCATTGTCAGAGAAGGGTATCAACCATAAATTAGAAGCAAGAATGTACAAGTAGGTCTGCCACTGCAAACCACGAGGGCCAGTACGACGGGCCATGACCACCAGTCCTGGCTGTGGCTTCTTCTGGCGAGGGGCTTGCTTGGTGGCATTACGTTCCTGTTGCTCCACAGCCCTCTTCTCGAACTCAGCCATTGCCTGAGGTGTTCCACCACGGGCACGGGCCTTGAGAGCCACTCCAGAGGCCCAATAGTTCTGGGAAAGGTGGTCTGGTCAATCAGCCCAATAGAGCTCATGAAAGAGGGGGATGGGCAAGGCACCGTCATCATTTCTCTCATGGCAGTGCCAGAAACAGGGGCAGTCACCTGTTGCAGCTTGAGGATGTGCATACGAGCACCAAGGGAGCTGACCCCAAGGTCATGGAGATTTTCTGTAGTCAGTGTCTGAAACACCTCGCCGTCGATGTCGTTGTCAGTGATCCAGTCAAGGGGCGGGAGCACAATCTTCTTGGCTGTGAGGTGGGATGTTATGGCCTCAAGCACCTCAGCAGGAGTGGCAGTTCGAGGTAGCTGTATATGATAGGTGAGGCATGATGAGGAGAAAAATATAAAAAGGGGTGCTCATGTACCAGGTTGTGCTGGGTGGCAGGGGCTGCAGTGTTGGTCTGGGATTCATCCCATTGGGGCCGCCGGCTGGTCTGTGGTTCTGCTGGCTGTTGTTCCACAGGTGGTCTATCCAAATCCTATTTTGAGGGATGTGTGAGAAAGCAAGCAAAGTAGCCAAGCTGATCTGTGTCATACCTCAGCATAGTCTCCAACAAGGGGGGGGAACTCCTGTCCTTCATCATCCACAAAGGGCTTGCCTTCTTCCCCTGACTCCTGAAGCAGCCGCTCACGTTCCTCCTCGCGCTGCCTGAAGGTCTACCACAAAATCAATGAACCAAAGCAGAGGATGAAGGGCAGAGGGGTTTTTGTTATCCCTACCTGGTAGGATAAGATGTTGTTGCGGAGAGTGGTGGCTGTTATGGTCAGGCCCCACCGTGCGCTGAGCCGTTGGGCAAGAACCACCCAAAAGCGGGTGGGATAGGCAGCTTGGAATTTGGGCACTTGTGATAGGATCCACCGCTTCTGGGACTCGGTGAGGAACACACGTTGTGACTGCATGGTGGTTGGTGTAACAATGCCCTGCCAGCTGCTGAGTGCTGAGGAGCATGTAACAGGCAATAAAGAGCCATGTGGATGCAGTGAAGTTTGCACCATGCACCCACACACCCTGGTGCGGGTGGCAAAAGGTTGCCCAAATCTCAAGGGTCTCAACACTTCACACACTGCCATACAGCCCAACTGGTGAGTCCCTGACGAAATATCTGTGGGCCTTATTACTGCATTTTTTTCCTGGAAAGTGGGGTTGGTGGCACAACACAAATAGCCTGTATATTTTTTCATGAAATTGAAGGCCTTTATTGTGCTGTGTGGTGTGGCCATGGACCCACCAGTGGATAACGGATGTTTTTCCGTAGGTGTGCTGCACTCATATGTGCGGTCACAGCCACTGCAGCCTCCAACACGTGAATGCCACCACGGTAGACACCACGGAACATGTTGTGGTTTACAAGAACAGCATTCACGTGCTCCACTCTGGCTCGGTAGAAGGAGATGATGGTATTGGCCAGCATTTCATCCTCTGAGAGCACCCGATCCTTCCGCCAAGGAGTGAGCATGTTTCTGCAGGTGCTATAGTGGCCATCTGGCCACCGCACACGTTGACACGCACACCTTGATGAGATTACACCTAGGACAATGCCAAGACAGGGCGTACCTCCTAACCACCACTCCCACTCTTCACGAGGGTGGTCGTGGGCAGTTGCCTCCCATATATGGGCATCATACAAGGGCAGATGAGGGCCAGTACAGAATAGTATCTGTCCCAGGAAAGACACTCCTAGCTGCACCTTGTAGACTGTTGTGCCATACTTGTTGGTGAAGAGGGCTCGTCGTAGCTCCCTATGTTCAGGCTTCTCCACTTCAATAGGAAA